TCAATAGCCAATTGGCCATGGTCGCAACCAAAAGCTAGCCATAAGATGAACTGTAGCTACTTGTACATATAGCAAAGTGAAATTAATTTATGGGAAATGATAAAAAATGAATACTAAATTCTAGAAAATTGTACACAGGAGTAGCTACAGTTCATCTTATGGCTAGCTTTTGGTTGCGACCATGGCCAATTGGCTATTGAACAAAATGAAACCACATAGTCTTTATTAGATTAATGCTCGCTCTTGGATTCCTACGACAGGTAGTTTAGATATGCGTACAGATTGCGTTGAGCACCAATACCCTCATTATTATTGTACTCAATTGTTTCTAAGTATCTAACTTGACAAAATACTTTCAAATAGGCTATTGAAAAGGATTATCATTTGTGTTATTGAAAAAAACACATTTTTTTATTTTTACAGCCTAATACTGTAATTGAAAAATGATAAATCATTAAGCCCCCTGTTAGCCCTTAAGATTCGAGTTCGTTGCTTCGTTAATGAAATTATTCCAGCTACGCGCGGCTACTGCTATATACATATACCTATCCTATATATCACGGGAGTTGATTCAATTGTGTCTCGCGTGTAAAGCTCATGCTTCTCTAGTAACTACTATACAAATATTTAAACGTAAAATTACACGCATACACCTATAAACAATATACATGTTGTTGGTTTTGATAGTTCAGAGAGCTTCGCTGGCTTGTAATAATTCCATATACTGCCTCTGGTGCTGCGCTCGATTCGTTTATCATTTCGCGGCGTTTGACGATTATAATATGACGCGCGTTCAATAAACTTGGGATTGTGCCTATATATATATATAAACGATGTACAAGTTTCGCATATTATACATTTTGCGTTATATATATAGGTATTATGCATCGGTGCAGCCAACGCGAATAAAGCAACAGGTTAATATAATTGTAATAACGCGATGCATATTATCATTTGACGTTCTCTCTGTCTCTGTGCGCGCCCGTAATCAAATGGAATGCATATTTAAAATGCGCTTCGGAATCGACGATTTCGATATATATATAACGACGCGGGTATTAATCGCTCGATTCTCTTTGTTCGATGGACGCGAGAATTTCTGCTATTACTGCTGCCGCTGCTGCTGCCGATGTCGTGGAAAATCCTATTGTAACCGAGTTGTATTTTTCGCCGTATTATATATTCTTCTCTTTGGCAAAAATTTGCGTTAGTTATCGGGACTCGCAAGCACACGAGTATGTGTATACGTGATATAAGCGAAACTTCGCGCGCACGTGAATATTTAAAATTCAATCGCCCGTATGTATGTGTGCGCGCCTCGAAATGACAACGATGTAAGGCAGCAATAGCAGCAGCGAACCAAGTAAACACATTTTGCTTCAAGTCCTATAACGCGCTCGGCCGTAGCAGCTTACGACTATCTTTCTCTTCTCGCCCAATCCTCTTCGTACTGCTGCTGCTGCTGCTGCTGCTACTCTCTTTTATACAAAGTGAAGAGAATAAAAATAAAAAACAACAACAGCAACAAAACAAAAACAACTAACGTTGAGAGAAAAAAAAAGTTTTTGCAACCCTTGACTTCAAATTACGAATAGAAAAAAAAGCGGGCGAGCGAGCGAGAAGAGACGAAGAAGAAAATTTGCGCGCAGCGAGCTCGAGCGTTACTCTCTGTACACGATGTTGTGTGTTGCGCCAAAGGAGGCAGCAGCAACAAAAAAAAAAAAAAAAGAGAAAGGCTCTTATACGGTGGCGGTGAACTCGACGTCGTGACGCGCCATCGGAAAGTCCCAAGAGAGAACGTGTAGTGTAGTATACCTGCACATACACATAGTACTGCAGCAGCGGCACAATATTATGTGTATATATATAGATATAAAATGTGTTATATTGGTGCACATGCGATATATCTATAGGTAGCGTGCACATATACCCTTGCCCGAGCGGAGCCTCGGTAAATGTAGAATTATATACGTGTAAGACTGTATGCACTTTATATATATTTCGTACATATAATAATAAAAATAATAAAAAGAGTCGATGCGCGTGGTACTATTCAATTTCCTCAAAATCCTGTAAAAAATTAAATTTCATTCGAACGCTAAGAGGCGCGCGTTAGCAAGTATATAAGCGAATGCAGGGGGCCTCTCTCTCTTTCGTTATCGTTGTTGTAATTATTATGCTCTATCAAGCCGCAGAGACACAGTCATCGCACTCGGTTCTCCGCGAGCGAGCTGTAGTTTCTGTACATCATGTCATTTATATAAATAATAATCGACGACGTTAGGGAGCGAGCGAAGAAAAATAAACGATAAATCGATCGATCATTACGTACATATAAGGCGTATAACGCACTAATTCTCTCTGGAGTTCTCGCGATTGATGTTATGTTATATTTGCTCGCGCGCGCAATTCGAAATGTATTATATATACGGAGTGAGGCTCACGCACCGCGCCCGTACACATATAAGGCTCAGCGGAACAATGATAGGGAGCTCGCAGTTTTTAAAGGGCGGCTAAGTGAATTTTCTTCTTCTTCTTCCTGCGTGCAGCCATATACCATGGGCTTAAACCGTGTAGTAGTATAGGTTCACAGGAGTTGGGTGCGCAGCGGCGAGAGCGATTTTCCTTTCTTCGCCTCTCTGTGTGTGTGTGTGAGTTGATGCATGCCCCCGTGATGGTGGTGGAGTGTGCCGCTACTGCGGCCTGAGAGTTTTCGTGACGAGAATTCCTAAAAAAGAGCAGAACTGCTGCTGCCGAGAGTAGTAGTAGTAGTGCTTTTACTCTCTAACTTTCAGAGTTTAATAAATAATATAATTCTTAGCGGTGAAATCTCGCTTCTTTCTTTCATTCTTTGTATTTTCATTCAAATTCTCTCGTGTAGCAAGCCAGCGCACAGAAAAGTATACTCGAGAAAAGCTGTAGGAGAACTCGAACTCGATTAAAGTAAATTAATTTCTGATTCGAAATCAAATCACGAAGAAGCAGTAGCAGCAGAAGATCGGATGCCTTTTTCCGTCTGAAATGTAGCAAAAACTCTCGCTACTGCAGTTATACTCCACTGCACGTTATCAAAGAGCGAGAGAGAGAGAGAGAGAAATATACGAGTGCACGCGCCTCGGCCGGCGATGTCTGATACGTCTCTCTCGCTAGCTCCTCGCGAAGACAGCGCGAAAAAGAGCGCGAGAGAAAATAGAGAACGGAAAGCTGCTGCTGCTGTTATATGCGATCGAAACCCCTCTCGTATCACCGAGAGAGCACGCGCGTCATTATACAAAGTGTTTTTTAGCACCGTTTACATATGCTCCAACTATCATAAGCCGTGTGGCTATATAGTAGAGCGAGACGAGAGAAGAGACGCACGAGCTGCTTGAATGCAAGTATAGCGTTGCGTGTGCGTCAGTCGCGAAATAGCAAAGCTGTCAGTGCACAGCACGCACTATCTGCTGCTGCTGCAATATCAATGCATGCAAGAGAGGAGCAAGTCGAGTCCACAACGGAGTCGATTTTACAGAAGCTGCTGATCTATATATAAACTATCTCTCTCTCTCTCTCTCTTCGCGCGTTAACTCGTGCAAAAGTTTTGCATGCGTGCGTGCGTGCAAGTATATAGGTATTATAATGCGCAACGACTCGAGTTTTCTCTCTGTCTCTCTCTCTATCTCTCTCTTATATACTCGCGAGCTCATTATAAACGCATGTTGTTGCCCGTGTGCAATACCGCGTGCATAATTGACAGCGACCTGTACACGGACTACGACGGCTACGAAGCTTGCAAACGTCGGTGCTTGCTTGGTTCTATATATATATGCATACATATAACGCACTGCACACGCGAGCGCGTATACGTATGCAGCAAGTTGGAAGAAAAAAAAAGAACTTATATATATACGGGAGAGAAGGAGATACATATCCACCTGCCTCGGGCCTCGCTCCGATCCCTGCATAATAATAATAACAAACGATCATTGGCGGCTCCAACTTTCTGAATGCTGCTTGAAAACTTTTTTCTCTCTCCCTCTCGTTGCTTGCTATACTCGGCTCAAAACTCGTATTTTACGAGCGTGGCAACAGAGAGACGAGCGAGAAAGAGAGACGACCGAACGGACGAACGAACGAACGGACGTACGTACGTCGCCGCCGCTGCCGCCACCACCGCGACTATATACTATGTAACGCGAAGCGAGGGAGAGGGCATCCACACAAACGCACAAACTCCGAATATACATACACGACGACGACGACGACGACGACGACGACGACGACGACGACGACGACGACGACGACGACTACGACGAGAGCAGCGCAAGAGCAAAGGCATCGGCAGCAGCGGCAGAGAGTATACATTGCAAATTTGCAACTCTCCGCGCTGCCGCGAACTTGTGTGTGAGTGCAGCAATAGGTATAGAGGTACACCGTGCATAAGAGAAAGATAGATAGAGCATTTAAGTGGCGAGGAAGAGGGAGGAGTGCCGCTGGCAAGAATAGCTCTCGATTTCCCCGCGCGGCTCTTATACGCATGCGTCTCTCTTGGTGGCTGACTATACATGTGTTTTACGCCGCCTACTACTATAACTATACATAGCTATACTACTACTACTACTACTACGATGAGTACGACGACGTCGCCGACGCCGCCGCCGCTCGTGCTCATGGCTCGCTGAGAGTCTCTGTATGCTTTGGATGTGTGTAACGTTGAAAATCGTAGGCACATATATAACGCATATAGCGCTACATAGTGGCTGTGCCTCCTTTTATTATACACACGCAGACACGGGCACAGCAGTCTGCCTTTATCCCCACCACCCCTACTGCGGAGCGTGTCGTATGAGCAGCGCTACACATATGCGAGTAGATCGTAACTATGTGTGCGTGACTGTGAGCCGTTCTCTCTCTCTTGCTCTCGTGCAGCCAAAGGCAGCAAAAGCAGCGGCGACGACGACGACGACGGCGGCGGCGGCGGCGGCGGCGGCTGGCTCTAGCTGAAAACGCCAACTTTGCGATATAATATTGCCAACCGCGCACACAGAGGAGTCAGAACAGCAGCTCCGTGCGAAACGCGCGCGCACGGCTGTGTCGTGCATCAGTGTCTCTCTTTACCTAAAAAATACAACTATACTATACTCGTGCAGTATATTACAACAAGTACAGCTTAAGTAATATATTGATAAAATATATATATGTAGTATTATTATTATAATGCATATATGTATTTCGTAAAAGAAAAAAAGTTAAAAAAAGGAAGAAGTGTTTTGTGATTCGAAAAAAGAAGTGTTCTATTTATCGTATTCGTATATAGTAATATATACGCACGTACGCGCCAATCCACAGTGTATGTATAAATATATTATACCCGTGTGTTTGTGCGAGTGTGTTACGAAATAGTGCACGTTTATCAACAACAGCAAAAAAATCCAGTTAATAAATAAAATTGCAACCGTGAAAAGAGATATCAAAAAAAAAAGGAAAGAAAGCGATCTCGAGGAAGGGAAGAAGCGTTCAAAAAAGGAGCAGCGGAGACTGGTGTGCGTGCGTGTGCAGAAGCTGTAGAGGCAGAATAGACGTTCTTCGGTACGAAAAGCCTAACACCACCAAGTTTTTTTTTCATCGTCATCATATAAAATAATTATGAATATTTTCTTCAACGCGTTGAAGTCGAATATAATATTTCTTTTGGTACGAGTGCGAACCGTTTGTCGTGACTGTCTCGAGTCTCTTCGTCGTCGTCGACATGCTGCTAAAGGCAACCAACCTCGTCGTAATCGCCAGCTTTTTCGTCCGCGTACTTACATACACGAATTCTCGCTTCCCCGTATCCGTGTGTGCGATTTTTTTTGTATACGTGTATTATTATATCGAGATGCGTGTGTGTGTGTGTGTGTGTGTGCGAGATTCTTACGTCTTATTACTACATGGGGAGTTAGCCTTTTATACATATTGAAAGTGTGTGAGTGTGCGTCTCTGTGTTGGGCTCTTTGCTACTATACACATACAGTACTACCACCACTACTACTACTACTTTACACGGCTCGTGAACGTTTCACAGGCCGAGTGTTTTATAGAATTCCTCTCTGCTGGCGAGCGTCTGTATCTCTGCGTATGTGTGTGTGTACGAGAGTGCAGAAAACTGCTCTTTCTGCATACATACGCGCGTCTGTCTGTCTGTGTGTGTAAGCGATACACTCCAGTGAGTGCACTACTCGGGCTCTCTCGCGTATATAAAACCCGCTACCTACCTACCTACCTACCTACCTAGACGGGCGTTATATACCTATGTGCAATGTTCTATTTCTATATATATTCTACGCGATGATTTACGAGTTTTACTGCTGCTGTCGCTGCAACTTTTATTTGCTCTCTTAATTTTTCATATGGAATGCGTTTCATTTCACCCTCCCCTCCCCCCCCGTCCAAAATCATCATCTCGCGACAGTAGCAGCAGCAACGGACGGTTGGAACTGTCCGATTCAAAAAAAATAAAATTCTCTTTTTCACTTTTCTAGCTCTTTCTCTCCTCGTAAGACGCAGAGCAGCAGCAGACTCCTTCTCGTTAAAACCGTTAATCTTTATGTATGTATTTGACTTTCTCGCTCTCTCTACTGCTGCTCTGCGTGCCCAATCACACATTATTATTTCGTATACGGAATGCGTGCTGCTGCCTTATGCCCACGGAAACGGAGTTCCACCTTGCGCGGCTGGAGTCGATTCTACGTCACACACATCCACGCCTTGTGTTCCGTATTTTTCGTCGAACACTTTGCGGGTATAGTAGTAGGCACAAACATCTGTATATAACCTCAAAAAATTCCGTGTCGCCGTAATATCCGAGGGAGTCAGCTAGCTGTACGGCAAAGACGACGACGAGGCCGCGCTCGGAGTCAGAGTCAGCATACTATGCAGCGAGCGGAGCGCGTTCGAATGGCGAAAACACATTTTTTTCGAGTCTCTCTCTCTCTCTCTCTCTCTCTCTCGTTCTTTGTATGTTGAAACTACTGCCTGTATGCATGTGTTGGTAGAGTGTGATATGTATCGGAGTTACGGTATATGTATAAGGCTCGTGGTGCATTTCGTTACATATATGCCTAACCGATTTTTATTTCGTCGTCCGTTGCATAAATATATAACGCTTTGAGCTCTCTGTTATCTAATCCTTTTCTCATCGCGTTCTCTCTCTCACACACACTTACACACACTGACACAAAGTTCGAACGCACAGTAGAGGTGCCTACCCTCCGTCTTGTGTGTTATACATATAGGCGTTTATATATTTGCCTCTCTGCGACGACGACGACGACGACGACGACGACGACTGCGATTGTGCATTCTGCCAGCAGTTCTCTCTTCGCTTCGTCGTCGTCACTCGTTCTTTTAACCTACGCGACAAGCAGCATGATGAATTATTATATACGTATATCGTGTGGGCCCCCGTGCGTGATATTATAATAATCGCAAAAAAATAACGACAACGTAGCGTAAAGGAGTTCGGATACACATATATATGTCTCTTTGCGCGCGAAATGTTGAGAAAAAAAATACTCGGTTGAGTTTTTTCCCCCCTCTCCCGCGGCCGCTTCAATGCGCGTTAATAAGTATACCGCACTCTGCGACGCGAATATAGATGCACACGCGAGACCGCGATGCGTCGTACATATGCATATAACGCACATACACTTACGCATTCCGAAGCAATATTGAATCGAATTTACGGATCATTAAACTCGGTATGGTACGCGATACTGATCGGCGCAGCGCTGGAATGACAGCGCGAAGTCCCATCGCGCCAATGGCGTCGGCGTGTCACACACGAGTCCACGAAGTTTTTTTCCTCGCGCTTAATTTTTTTTTTCCTTTTCTTGTACTTTCTCGTGTCGTATTTTTCGTCCTTTCAGCAATTATATTATTAATATCGTAGGCGCGCGCGCGCACGATGGTGTGAGAACGCGAGAATAATGAACGAGACAGAGAGACTCGCGACGAAAATTACACCTCGCGTGAGTGTTGTATATATTGGACACACACCCACTACTCGTCACTTGCGTCAATTTATCGGCTGGAAAAATCTCTCTCTCTCGAATACGTGTATTAAATACGTAGTATAATATAACGCGCGAAATTCCTCAATTATATATTTTAAGCATATTAGACGCACACGCAGCAGTAGTAGAGAGCATATAGCGAAGATAACCCTTGTGACACTGTGTGTAATGCTCGCACAACCACAACAAAACAATAATATCGATCTTTCCATTTCTGTCTTTCTTTTTTTTTTCGCGACGACGATTGCGTGCGCCCATTTACACGCGATGCATCAGGCCATTTAGTTATTCAAAGCAGGTATACATGTCAGTCAGTTGATTCTTTTTTTTCTTCTTTTTCTTTGGCTACTTCGCCTTTATTTTTTCCTTTATGCGTTTGCTTGCTTATAAAAGGCGACGATGCCACATTATAATACGCGCGCGACTCAAATTTATTAGTTAACTCCGATAAAAGTGCCAAAGGCGAGATTTTTCGACTTCTCGTATACATAACACGCGCGCGTGTAACGTGTGCAACAGCAGCAGCAGCAGCATCAACATGCATATTATAGCTAGAGCCTAGAGATGTTCACTGTTTTTCCCTCTCTCTCTCTCACTCGTTCTAACTCTTGCCTGTCGTCCGTCGTCGTCGTAGTCGACAACGTCGGTCGACCTATTTTTAAACCTTATGCACTGGCTTTAATAAGTTTGATGTGGCTTATGCGTGCATTATACACATCTCTATATTAAGCCCCTGCTTAATAAACTGAGTGTGTGCAATAAATAAAATTTATGTACTTCGGGATGAGCGAGAGAGAGAAGAGGAAGAGCAACCACGGCAACGGCACACACCGAGCTCGGCTAGTGCATACATATAACGCATATATACTATATATCGTTGCTCACCCCGACATGTATTTAATACATCAGTCTATATAAACGCGACGATGAAAAATTCGAGCGGAATAAAAAATCTTTGCGCTAGCCAGACTCTATTATGTAGTGCGTCGTCCCGCTTCTATAGGCCCTGTGCACCGGTTGTAACAGTATGATATAGCGCCACAAATCATCAGAAATATGACATAATTGAGCAGAACGCGTATATAGCACAATATTAGCTATATCGCGCGGAAAAGAAGAGAAATAAAAAAAAAGAGGGTGGCTCTCCCGTGCAGCATTGCGAGTGTAATATATATATATAGCACGCACGAGCAGCAGCAGCAGCAGCAGCGAGAGGAGCGAGCCCAGCGCGCGCATTGCACTTCGATCTTGATACAGCGTGTAGCCAATCAGTGCCCGGCCGTACTATACACGTAATACAAGTAGTGACGAGCGTAATTTTAAGGAAATAGAGAAAATACGTCGCTGCTGCTGCCACGAGGGGTGGGATAACATCGCGCGGCGGTCGCTCGGTCGCTTATTCGCGGGGGCAATAAAGAAACGAAGGGGGTGGAGGGAGAGGGGGAAAGGGTCAAGGTCGCGGTCTTTTATGTATATATATATAACACTAATAGACACACACACAAACTCGCGCATTTTTCTTAAACAAAAAAAAAGAGCGAGAGAGAAACTGTATTATACGCGCGTGCGAGCGTGCAATTTTCAAGGATCGTTAAGGACGTCAATCATTTATATGCGCGCTCTGCTTGCTCTATACCTTTCATTCGTCAAAATTCAATAATAACGCTATATGCGCGTTTACACGGTTTCATTGTGCGTTGGTGTGTATGTGTGCGAGAACGGAGTTTCGCGCGTGTATATACACACGATGCCACGCCAAAAGGTGCGCGCATTCTCAAAGTCGTTTCGCGTATACGCTATATATCTTGTTGCAAACTGCACACTGGCCATCGTCGTCGTCGTCGTCGTCGTCGTCGTCGTCGTCGTAGTGGTCATCGTTGTCGTGCGTGCTTATAAACCTACACACGAGTATATTATATTATGTTCTTCGTGTGCACGAGTGTGTGTCGGGCCGTTCGCTGCATTTATATATGATATTATGATGATGACGATGACGACGACGATGAACGATGAAAATTTCGCACGCATCGCGCACTACGCAGCGTCGTGTGCAAAGACAAATATAATATTAAACTTAACTAACTAACTGCTACTAGACGCGAGCTACTTTTGTGCGCGTGGGCGTGTATACGTACGACTGTGTAAGGTGGCGATGAGACACCCGCGAAGACGACACAGTTGTTTTGTTGATGTTGTTATTGTTATTATTATTATCACTAATGTAGCGTTTTAGTATAGAGAGATATAGTACGCGCGAGGTAGTAGTAATGCAATACTCGCCCGGACCTTCGAGATGTTATTCTGGATGTGTTTTTTGTTGTTGCTGCTGCTGCTGCGCTTTGTGCAGCAGCTTACCTTACTTCCTCGACATTTTAATATAATAATTGCGGATCTTTGTGCGAATCTCGGCCCCGCAAGTTCTGTAAAGCAAAAACACGATAGCCCTGTAAGCGTGTGGCATACGATACATACTATTTCGAGTGCATTATACGTATGGCTTATAAACTACTACACGGCGTACATGAAGGTTTTAGGAATGTGCAACACTACACAGCTCGAGTAGTAGTAGTAGTAGTAACAGTAACTATCTCCAGTTCTCGTCTGTGTGTCCGTGTATACGTGTGTGCGTCTGCGAGTGCATATATCTATAGACTATCGTAAGCTTTCGCTCGCGCGCGGAGCTCGTGAAAGGCCGTGAGCGGCGGCGGCGCAAATGGCTCGTAGGTGGAAAGGAGCACACGAGAACTGCATATTATACGGCAGCGACGACGGTGTGTTGTAGCTGCAGCATTGGAATATTATTATATTTGTGTGTGTGTGTGGTTATAATAACGTATGTATGCTCTTATATAGCGCGAGCGACTCTTTTTCTTTTAACTAGCAAAAGTAGTTTTGCAAGTGAGAACGTAGGCAAGAAAAAAAAAAAATGAGCGGGTGCACGCGTTGACAAAAATTTGTTTTCGAGATCGGTTATTCCTTGCGATATATTTTCCAAGTTGGTTAGCGAGATGTCTTAACGCTATAAAGCTCTCTCCCTTATATTATATTCTTTCGCACTTCTCCTTCGTTACCAAAACATGTCTTTCTTTCTCTCTCTCTTTCTCCCCTTGTTACTTACTTTCTGAGCCGTATATCGGGCGTACGTATATGTATATAACAACCGCTCAGGACAAAGGAAAAACCGAGTTATATAGGACACCTGGAGCTCATAATAGATTCTTCCATTGTACTTTTATGCCGTTGTTATACTCTTTTATATAATGTATAAGATGGAGAGGAGAATCCCTGCTGATGCTGCTCTCTCTCTCTCTCTCTCTATGTTCGCTTAGCTCGCTCTCTCTCTCTCTCCGCTGCTGCAGTTGCAAGAAATTTTGTCGAGAAATGTATTATAAAGCGTGCCTCACGGGTCCGCGAATATTTCGAATGATTTTAAAAGAGAGCGCGGATTCGCGCGCCTATAGCGAGAAATTCTTTGTATAATTCATAAATACAGCACTCATCGTCGCTCGGAAAGAAATAATCTAATAATTTTTTTCTTTTTTGCTGTTGCAGATCTCTACTGGCATGGAGCTAGGAGTGCACTGACAGCGATATTTCACAAGGTAAATATCATATCTTCCTTTTCTTTTTCATGTACAGATATTGTTTTAGAGATTGCATTTATGATAAGATACTTTTTTTTTGCTGATTACAGATCTTGGTTTCTATGCATTGCCTGCCAAAGAAGAACTGAGCCCAATGTTTCCACACAATTCTAGTTCACATGAGATTTCTACCGAAACAAATGCCTTCGTACAAAATTCCAAGGTGAATAGAAAGAAAATTTTTTTTAACAAGAAGCAATTTCTCTTATCTTTCTATGTAGTGTTTATGTCCAAAAAGTAACTGTCAGTAAAAATGATTAAATTTGCACTGACGATTCCTATTTTCCTCGAATTTTGTATTTGATATATGTACTAATATACTTTTATAATTTGAATAGGGGGATGTAGTAGTATTAGAGGAAAGCAGTCTGACTGGGGTGAGGGATGTGGGTAAAAGACCAGAAGACGCTGGGTACTGTGATATCGAATTCATAAAGAACAACAAAAATAACAACTGTGGCAGATTAACGGAAAGCAGCAGCAATATGCCAAACTTTGTGATGGCAAAACAAACAGCAGCAGCTGAACCTATCAGCCATACTGAAGCTGATGCCATCATTGACCTCTCTACCGTCCTCATGAGCGGTGCTGGTATGTAATATAACTTGTATAATTGATACTTCATTTTCAAATACTAATTAAGGGCTGGAAGATTTTTTATGGACCTGCCTTTAACAAAAGTTTCTTTGACCTGTTTTAGTGTATTGTAAACTATAATCAAAGTTTTTATGTTAACATTATATTTTTTTTTACAGACAAGTCCTCAGCACATGTGGAAGTAAAGTCATCATTATCAGCAGATGGCCAAAGTATCGTTCGTATCATGAACACATTTTTCAATAATGTTGATGAAAAAACAATCAACACTTTGATTCATTCAAATAAGCCAAACAAAACTTGCAATCATGGCTTGGCCAAAGACAACATCCATGATAAAGACTATGATGAGATTAAATTGAACCATCTAATTAAAGAACAAAATGAAAAAATGAATAATGCCATTCATGATAAACATCACAATAACAGAGGTCATGAAGCAACAGTAGCAGCATCAAACAACCATCATAAGCAGCAGCAAAGCGCAGCTGCTAACTCTAAGTCTACATCTAAGCCGTTAAGTGATAATAAGGATAGCTTTAGCTCAGTAAGCCCTAGGGTACTAAGCTTAAGAAATAAAACAACAGCAGCAGATGTATTCCAATATTATCGTTATCTCTCAACGATGATAAAGGACGAAGTTAAGGAGGAGGATGAGCAGCGACGTAAGATCAATAACCGTCGTTGCTCAGCACCTAGCCTAGTTAGGATGATACCCAAGTCTGATGATGGCCAGCGGGCCCTTAACCTTAAGGCTAATATTAGTCATGTAAGTTTAATTAATAAGCCGAATAACTCCATGTCTGTGATATCGCTCGGCTCGAGCTCAGCATTCAACAGCAGCTTCAGTGGCATGAAAATCAGCCAGAACACCATTAAGAAGATCTTCAATGAGATTGATCAAGAAGGCACGGTTAATAATCATAAAGAGCGCCAGGCCAGTTCTTCCATTACGCTTACCGTTCCTACAACCACGACAACAAGGCGGGCCTGCCTCTTCTTGATCGAGCAACTCGTACAAGCTGGAAAGGATGAGCTCGAACGACGACTAATAAGCGCATTATGTGTTCCATTAAATTTAGAATGTAAAGCTCCGATGCAGCCGCTGCTGTCTCTACTGCAACTAATGTCGTACCAGTACATGAAGAAGCAGCTTTGGCAGCAGTTCATGCTGACGAGCTCAATCGATGGTATTAGCTATACCGAAGCAACAATGTTCACTGTTGGTGCTCCTTCGTCGCGGGTTTATAATGATTATAAGTCTAATAATGAGCCTCTAAATACTAGCTTTAAGATTTCTGGTGATAATGCGTCCTATCGGCGTATTACCATTGATAATGATGATTATCTAATGCAACTTAAGGAGATAAAAATGCAGTTGTCTAAGTCTATGCTGATCGTTAAAATTAATACTGAATATGATAACAATAAGAACTACGATAAGGACTACAGTAAGGATAGTGATAAGTCTGATGAATTCAAAGAGAAGGCGGTCGATTATGATGATAATAATAAACTATGCCGGCGATTTGATGAGAAAACAATGATTGTTAGGCAGCCGGCCAACAATAACATTCCTAATACCTGCGAGCCTACGATGACGCTTAATTGCCAATCTACCACCGTTATCAAATCTCAAGCGATGTTTGATGTACCTGCAATCCAATCTACTCTCGAGAACGAGGTGCGTACACTACCCTGACTTCTAGTTTTTTTTCATGAATAAACGAGTCTCTAGAGGCATGACTTAACGAAAAATTATTTCTTATTTCAGATGAACAAGACGAAGAAAAGTGATAAAACGGGATCTAGTCTCGTTGAAGACTGCAAAAGCCTTCTCGCTGATTATTTCCGAGTGAAGCGTGACAATGATAATTGTGATGACAACGTACGCCAACTGACGAGACTGAGGGAGGTTCTGAATACTCTGCTGACGACTAAACATCGTTCAGCTCTCATTGACGAAATTATTAAAAATAAAGATACTATCCCAATTCAAAAATACGAGTAAGTTTTTACCAACGGTCTTTTAGCGAAATTGTTAATTCTGAAAGAGATTGTCTAAAAGCGTACCTTCTTCATTCAACAGGAACAACAACTGCGGCAGTGCAGCTATGATTCATGACTACAAACAGCGCTGGGGCATTCCAAGCCTCTTGGGACTCTGCGGCGGTGGGGAAAGCTCTCTCAACAGCGGAGCTACCGCTAGCTGGGCCTCGCAGCCAACTACACCGACCAATAACAATCCCGCTCCCTCCGGATGGAGTGGCAGCAACAGCGTAGTTACCTCCGGTGGCAATGCTTCCGGTTCTAATCCGCAACAACAGCAACAAACACCACAAGCCAATTGGCAGCAGGGAGCGCCGGGCAATAGAAGTATGCAAGGACAAGGACCACCCGGCAACCCAGGTAAACAGAGACTAATATTTACAAAATTTAAGTTTCGAGATACACACTGCAGAGCGCGAGTAAAATGACACCTATCGTTCGATAACGAGAGTAATCGCATGCTTAGTCGCGTGTTTACATCACGCGTAAGCACAGCTAACATGAACTAGGAATGGGTATGTGTGAAATTTTTCACGACTCTCGTTTATTGAGCGATTAGAATCAGAAAAAATCTACCCACCTTGATCTTATCCGTTGTGTTTTAAAATTAGTGACATGAAGTGATATTGACACGTGAATCTTTGTTACAGCCCCTCAACAAGTGCCGCCTACATCGCAATCAAATAACCAAACCACCGGTAACACCGCTGCCAATACAAATACTCAATGGGGACAACAAGCCCAGCAGCAGGGCAATAAAGCTACCAACCAGCAATCTCAAAATAACAACGGTTCAGGTGTTGCACCTCAGCAGCAGCAACCACCGAATCAACAGCAGCCGCAACAAGCTCAGCCTCTGCAGCCTCAGCAACAAGCCGGAGTCAACAACAACCAGCAGATGCCGAACTCTGTGGCAGTCAGTGCCGGATCTCCTCCCGCTACCAATCCGTCAACCAAGCAACAACTTGAACAGTTGAATACTATGAGAGAAGCTTTATTCAGTCCTGATGGCTGGGGATGCGTAAGTATTTTCAAAATGCGTGAAGTGTACATAAGTGAAGTTTCATAATAGTCTAACTAATATAATTTATTGTTTAGCAACATGTTAACCAAGATACAAACTGGGATGTGCCTGGCACCCCAGAGCCAGCAATTAAGTCTGATAATCCTATGTGGAAAACTACAGTGAATAATGGAACCGATTTATGGGAAGCGAATTTGCGCAACGGCGGTCAACCGCCCCCGCAACAAGCCAAAACACCCTGGGGACACACCCCGTCAACCAACATTGGTGGAACTTGGGGCGAAGACGATGATACCGCTGATACATCGAACATGTGGACTGGCACTCCTTCGCAACCACCGGCTCAACCCAACACTGGCCAATGGCCAGGCGCTGGTGGCAATACCTCGCAAACCGGTATGTGGCAACCAGGTGGAAGTTCTGGTGGACCTGCCTCGACTGGGGGCTCGAATTGGGGCGATCCACGCGTGGATCCCCGTGATCCACGTGAATTGCGCTCGGTTGATCCTCGCGAACTTCGCGATCCACGAGATCATCGTATGTCTCTGGATCCTCGTGAACAACATATGCGCGTCATGGACTCTATGGGGGCTCGAGACATGCCTCGCATGCCGGGTGAAGTTCGTGGCGATCCCAGAGGTGGAATATCTGGCAGACTCAATGGCTCCAGCGCCGATGCGATGTGGAACCAACCTCCGGGTCCACCTCATCATCAAATACCAAGCCATCAACATCCTAATGGCCCACCAAATAAGATGATCGCACCTTCGAATATTAATCAGTGGACTGCTCCACCACCCAAAGATATGATACCCGGAAAACCAACAGGATGGGAAGAACCTTCACCTCCCACTCAAAGACGCAACGTTCCCAATTACGATGATGGCACTAGCCTCTGGGCTAATCCTGCAGCCAATCAACGTCCGATGCAAGGAAACAAAGCTCCTCACTGGAAAGATGTGCAAACTCAAAACTTCGGACGTGGAAACGATTACTTTGCCTCGGGTGGCATGCAATGCCCTCCCGGTATGATGCAAAATCAAATGCCAGGTCAGCCAGGTATGAAACCAGATACAAGCGGTGGTCAGATGTGGGGTGCAAATTATCCAGGAAGCGGTGCCGGACCTACCGGTGGAAGTCACAATGGCTCTTGGACCGACGGTCCATCTGATATTTCAAACTGGAGCAGTGGCGGCGCTATTCGTAAACGTAGTGTACGTGATATTGTCAATCCCCAAACTTCCGGCAAGAACTTCAGTTGGGATGAACATAAAAAACCGCCTATGGGGCCATCCGGTGCCGGCAATTGGGGTGACTCAGATATGGATCCGTCTAGTAACTGGGCAGCGCATACTCCTCATAAGCCTACGTTGACAAAAGAATTGATTTGGAACAGTCGTGAATTCAGATACCTTTGCGATATGGGATTCAAGGTATAATTTTTTTTCGTCTTTAATATAAATTTCGTGGTTTTTTGACAAACAATTCTGTAAACATAATTTTCGTATTTACAGAAAGAAGATGTTGAATTAGCTTTGCGCAATCGTGAAATGAACTGTGACGAAGCTCAAGAATTATTGAATCAACTGCGCCCGACTGATCAGTGGCGTCGTCACGATGGAGGAGGCCATTCCAGCTATGATCCTTCGAGTCAATCAGCCGGAAGCCAATCCTTCTCGCGATTCAACCACATCAGCCAACCAGTAGCATTTACACCGGTAAGTGAAAACTCCTACAAATGATTCATCTTGCTCATTTTGCCCATTTCCAACTTGACTCTTGGGTATGGATTTTCCTCATCTTTTTGAATGATCCACGTGAATATAACAGACCTCAAGCTGTTTCTGGTGTTTGTTTTGACTTTTCGAGGTCTTATTTCCGTAAAAGCGTTATCGACTAAAATAAGAAAAACCTGATCGGAGCGCAAACAACGTGCATGAAATAATCATAATATTGTGCAGTTATAATGTTTTAATAAAACCGGTATCCTTAAATTTTTATATTGTAATGCAACTTAACATGCATTTGCTTCAGAAGCTTTGACAAGCATTTAGCAGTTTTAAATGGCATCCGATAAATTTGATAAAAAATATTCTCTTCTGCAATGTTTGATGCAATGAATTACAATTATTATCATTAAGCAATTTTTTCTTGATTACGGGAAATTGGTGCTCGAAAACCTTCAAGGTGGAGGCTTGTATCGCATTTGAATAATCATTTGGTTCAGTATTCTATCCTGTGCTCTCCGTTATATCCAGTAGTATCTATAATTACATCGGGATTGGAAGATTCTCAATTTCAAGTAGTTATACTTTTTTATTCTTACAATTCAACACGACCTAAATACAATCTACAAAATGTCAGACGTACATGCACACTTATACGAGAACTGTTAACGATTCGAAAAAAGCCCCAATCAAAAGTCGTTTAGGGATTATTTTCATAAGAACATTTAGAGTTAGGAAGAAGGGCGTATCCGTAAAAATTGAAATTACAAAAACCAAAAAAATATGCGCACAAACAGGGAGTCGGAGTACCGAGTAGCGCCGTGCCCGCGTCCGGTGGTTCGGTCGCTAGCTCCAGTCTATTGAAGCTGCACCAGCAACAGCAACAGCAGCAGCAGCAGCAGGCGGCCGCAGCTGTGCAATTGCAACAGCAGCAACAGCAGCAACCACCGAGCAGTAATACGCCTCAGCAGTCTTTCAATCAGGTGAAATTGCCAATCCGCCCTTTACATGAATTCCACTTACGTATAGAAAATTTTCACGTCGAGTTGTAATATATAAAAAATGCAGTACAATTTTATCAATTACTTGCCGATTGTGTACAGTTTTTTTCAACTATGATTTGATTATATTTTTATTTTTGAAGCGTCAATCTTAATTGATATTGAATTTATGATTTTTTATATTGTTATCAAAATTTTAAGCAGTCAGTTGTTTGCCGCCGCACGCGCACACGCACACGTGCGTATGTAAGTACACGATAAAGCAATGAAATTTTACAACAAAACGTTTGGTGAAATCAACAATACTGACCGCTTGAACTTTGTCGAACAGAATCTTTAAGATTTTTTTAAAATATCGACTAAAATCCAAACTATTGCCTAGAAACTTTTTCTTTACTTTCTCTGAGCTTCTTCTTCCACCTTTTACATACTTTGTATGATGATGGCGTGAAAGGCCAACAATGCATTATTGTTGTATTTATTTGTATTATACATGTAATTCATTTTCCAAAACTACCGACAAAATTCTTATCTCTCATTCTGTAAATAGAACTTGTTCTACGAGTGCACTCTCAATTTTTTACACTCCTCTGTTTTTTCTCAAATATTTTGTTGCTCTTTGCATGTATTGTATGCTTTTATTTTGTTTATTTCATTCGTACTTAACTAATATGTTTTTCGTGAATCTCGCATGATTTGAAAAACAGTTTTTTAGCTTAGTGATTTTGGGTTTAACGCTTTCGTAGCCAAATAATTACCTTAAAGCAGCCTTGCCTTTTGATGCTTTTTTTTCTCGCCCTTAGAATTATGATCAATTGCTTGAAAGTAATATGAAATATAATAATTATAATGATTGTCAAAATATTTATAATATATTTATACTCGATGAAATTCGCTAACATTATCATTATTTTTTATTTTATTCATAACGTTGCATACGAAACCAATAGTTTAATTTTATGTGTATCTTTCTTTTTTTTAGCAGTCATCTCGTCTGCCATCGAATCCGCCAAGTGCTCAACAGCTGCGTATGTTGGTTCAACAAATCCAACTGGCTGTGCAAGAAGGTTATCTGAATCATCAAATTTTGAATCAGCCCCTGGCTCCTCAGACTTTGATGCTTTTGAATCAGCTTCTGCAACAGATCAAGGTTTTACAACAGCTTCATCAGCAGCATTCCATGCAGAACGCCATCAAGAATAACAGCCAGAACGTGCTTCAAATCAGCGTTCAGATTACCAAAACCAAGCAACAGATTACTAACTTGCAAAATCAAATCTCTGTACAACAGGCTACGTATATGAAACAACAACAGCAACAACAACAGCAACAACATCCGAGCACGCCGTCTCAATCTTCAGATTATTACAAACCGTCGATTCAAGATCCAATGAGCGCTTTGCAGAGCAGTTTCAGCGATCTATCAATGCACAAAGAAGCTCCGGTGGTCAGTATTATTAACAACAAGATAAAACTTCACCGTCAATTTCAATAATAATTATACATCGTACTTTTTTTATAGCAGAGCCAGCAGCAATCTCGCTTGAACCAATGGAAGCTTCCGTCTCTTGACAAGGATACAGATTCCGTAGTCAATGAATTTTCACGAGCTCCAGGTAGCTCAAGCAAGCCACCTTCAACACCAAGCAGCTTAAACTCGGCGCACAGTAATCCGCTGTTAGGTCCTGGAGACGCTACTTGGTCATCTAGACTCGGAGATAGCGGTTGGCCTGACACAAGTAACAATGATGCAACTGACGGCAAAGACTGGCAGCCCGGCGGTACAAGTGCTGCATTTGCTGATCTCGTACCGGAATTCGAACCAGGCAAACCCTGGAAGGTAATAATCATATTAAATAAATAATTATAACGTTTGAAATAATTGAAAATGGAACGATAACATTTACGAAATTTTCTTTGATGCAGATGAAATCCATCGAAGACGATCCAAACATAACACCTGGTTCGGTAGTTCGCTCGCCACTATCATTGGCAGCAATTAAAGATACCGACACTATATTTGCACCTGGCAGTAAGTCATCGTCACCACCTCAATCTGTCAACTCTGATAATACACCCATTCCAAGCTTGAGCAATTCAACCTGGAGTTTCACACCTGCAGCAGCCACAACACCAGTCTTTCCAAGGTAAGATTTCATCGATCATGTTATTGACTTTCAGTGTGACGTAATTTAATGTATCCTTTGTCTAATTCTGTAGCTCGAAAAATACATGGGGTGATTCAGCTCCACCACCAACAGCGGTTACGTCCGAGCTCTGGGGTGCTCCAATGAACAACAAATCGCGGGGTCCTCCACCTGGATTAGGCAGTAAGGGTGGCTCTGTAAGTAATGTGAGCAACGGCTGGTCTTCATCAATTGGACGCTCAAATACTTGGGGCTTACAGTCCAACTCTCCTGGAGGAAACGGTGGCAATCCTGGTGGCTGGGTTTCTCCATCCACTTGGTTGCTGCTGCGCAATCTCACTCCCCAAATTGACGGATCTACTTTGAAAACTCTGTGCATGCAGCACGGACCTGTACAAGATTTCAGACTTTACCTCAACCATGGCATTGCCCTCGCTAAATATTCATCGAGAGACGAAGCTATCAAGGTTTGTAATATTTATTTTATCATACATATATTTCTTTAACTGAAGATTATTCAATAATATAATATTTTGTCTGCAGGCTCAAGGAGCTCTTAACAACTGCGTACTTGGCAATACCACGATATTTGCCGAGTCACCAGTTGATAGCGAGGTGCACACTCTCCTGCAGCAACTTAGTCACGGCAGCGCGGGACCATCTCCTGCTGGACCAGGCGCTACTCAGCAGCCACCGGGCAGCGTCGGTCCAAACGCTCCTAGTTGGGTTGGTGGTCTTAGATCGTCCGGCTCTAACAAGAGCGTTGGTCCTCCCAGCGCTAATGATACTTGGGCTGCTGCGAGTGGTGCAAGCCAACTCTGGGGCGCCCCGCCGACAGGCAATTCACTGTGGGGCAGTAGTGGTCTCGATGGTGGCGACCAGCAGCGTACCACTCCGAGCTCTCTGAACTCCTACCTTCCCGGTGATCTGCTTGGCGGTGAATCCATGTAAGGTGAAACCTTACCATGTAAAGTATCAGCAACACCATTACGATAAAACGCTTGAACTCATCAATACGTCAATTACCACCAAACCAGTAAGAAAGCGTAAGGAACCAATGACTATAACAAAAAAAAACTACCTATATAATAACGGACAGCTGAACGAATGCGAGAAAGAGCGAGACTGTAGGCTACTAATTGTGAAACGATACATATTGCGATACTACACATTATATTATTATATTCAGGCGTGCGTGAACGTGAGACTCGCTTTTATGCGACAAAAGAAGCAAAGGTTATATACATATATTCGTCCCCGAATATATTTATATATAAGATATACATTATATATATTTAAACGTTACTTAAAAAGTAAAGGATAAGCCGAGTGTGGTGATCAAATAAGTAATGAGAGAGCTGAAGGTGACGATGGTCTTAAGACTTGAACTGTATTATTGTATTATAAAAAAGCTTTATGTCTTAGTGTTTTTAAATTTTTCTGATACTTTATTTTTAAGTTGATAACGATGAGCGTGATTCAAACTTGACCTGGTCATCGTTGATTTCAGCTCTCAAATCGCACCGTAAAAAGTAGGAAGTGTCACCATGCGCGCGTTTAATCTTTTTCTAATGAAAGATACTAGTACTAGTGCTGTGTGTTAGGAGGGCAAGGCTCGCCGGACGGTTCATGTATTTTTTTGCTTATATTTATGCATCGACAGTCGTTAATTAAGTAAAAATGGGAAGGGCTCTATATATAAACATATATATTTCATAAGGACTTATTAGTAACATGCATGGTAAACCACGCGTACACAATGAGACATCTAAAAATAATAATAATCAACTATACCGGCGCCGTGCTTTCAGACTAACAAAAAAATTATTAATTATAATGAGTGTTCTACTTTCATTTCATTCATTCTCTACGATACATCATGATCGATCGCCGGCTAACCCGTAGTAATACGGCGTGAGTATCACGAACTTTAGACTGTACCAATCTAATCAAAAAACGATGAGCGTTGACGATATTCTTAAGTGTGATGAAACAAATGAGAAAAAAGTTCTTAAAACTATTTATTAATATATAAACGTACGTACGAAAGATAGTTAAAAATGAATTGATAATTAAATAGAAAAAAAAGGTGATAAATACAAAATGAGTTAATCCGGATCTCCACGTGAAATTGAAAAACGCGTAAATGAACATGAAACTATGTGGTTTCTCTTGTGCGCTTTTATTTAGTAAAAAAAGTAAAAAATAAATAATTTCTCTCCGTTCCCGAAGTCTGAGATACACACGTACACATATACATTACATTAGAAATATAAAATACATAGAGAGAAATGAGAAAAAAAATCATCGTGGGAAATCCGTCGTGTGCGAGTTAATTGGAGGATAAGCGTATCGCCATTCATGAAATAAAATATAAAGATACTGAAAAGCCAACAAGTATAAGAGAGATTGAATGATAGGTAGAAGAGAGGGTGAGACGCGGCCGGCGACGCAACGATACCAAATGTTATCGCAATAACGTAAATTTTATTCTATTATTAAATCTTAATGCCACCTGTCGTGCCAATGTCCAGTGTGTCTCTGTACCATTTACTAATTGTAGAATTTTAATAATAGAGAAAAAAAATTAGGAAATAAGCTGACGTAAAATAAACTTGTTAAGCTGAAGATTAATCAATAATACAAAGAGAGACTCTCTCTTTCAAGTAAAAAGGGTTTGGGATTGAATTTCGTTTTCGTTTCCGCTATGTACAAAAATATAAGTATCTATTAATAATGAACGAAAGTTTGGGGTTTAATCAAACGGTATATAAAATAATATATAAGATGAATTGATGCTCGAGCTTTTGCGTGTTTATCGCGAAAAACATTTATTATAAGCAATTACCGATCCGTTTTATCAGATTTTCCTGTGCATTAAAAACAAAAAAATACGCATGATTAGTACGTATTTAATAATATATATCATAGTTAATTATATGATAGCCTGCACTCGATGACGAATGACGAAATGACGAATTTCAAAACCTTCAACTTTAAGAAAAAATAGCTATGCCATTTTTTCGAAAAATCACCCAACTGAGAATCTTCGTTCCTCAAAGCAAAATAACTCATAACGGACCGATAATTGATATTTAACAATTAAAAAACTGAACTCGCTCGATTTTGAAAGAATTCAAGAGCGTTTCGTGACTGTACTTTGTTACTAAGCCTCTCAAAGTCCATTCTGTTATTGATCAAAAATAGTAGAGCTTTTTAGTGACTGCTTCGGTCGCGTATAAGTTTCAAGAAGGAAATGTGTATAAAAATGAAGAGATTTCATAGTGATATGCGTTTAAGCACGAAGTTTTTACGATTTAAAAAGTATATGTGAGTTTTTTCTGTATGTATGTATTGTGTGAATAATTCAAGTATGATTGCAAATATACATAAGTGTGATAATAAGTATGCTGGGACGTTATAACGTGATTATCTTTATATTCTTTTGTTGCGTTTCTCCGCGTTTAAATGAAAAACGTACCTGATTGACTGACGAGAGGAAATACGTTTGTTGAACTATAGTAACCCTTATAATCCAAAAAAAAGGAAAAAAGATGAACTATTGAATTTGATATTTACCTTTGATCTTTATATATTTTAAGCTTGTTTTTAAATAATTTATTTAAGTAGTAGAACAGACGAATTTTCACTCATCATTCTTTTTTCTCCCGCTTGTTTTAAGCTTTGCTCATATTAAGAAGTTCGAAGTTCTTTTTACTTGAAGAATTTCAGATATTTTCTTCTCAGTCAATAATAATGGAACAAGACATGCGAGAAGTAATGATTTTATGAAAAAAAAAAAAAAAAAAATTAAAAACCAAAAAAAAAACAAACTAATGAAAAATTCCATATACACTAAAACTATTATTATAAAACAACGCGCAATACCTAAATAATACGGGACGATACGCAAAACGAGTGACGAGATGCAAAAGATTAACCGAGTGATTGACGTAATTTAAGAAGCGTTTTTTTATTTTTATTAATTATAAATCATGTACGATGAGATACAATTTTATAATCAATGTTGATGTTAATGTATTCGTAAACGCGTTTCAATTCACCACTAATGGAAAGCCATTCAGGAATTCAAATCAAGTAAAATCTTTAAAGCTTTAACTGTTTGAAGTGAACGTATTTACAAATGCATTGGAAATCGCTCTTGACTATTAAAATTCTTTCCTCAACGTACTCTCTGAGCACACGAATCGAGTCAAAGATAAAGCTTTTTTTAAAAGTATAATCGAAAATTAAGGGCCACTACTAAGTATTTACAATACACCACTGACAAAACACATCGATAGTCTTATAAGTAAAACAAAGTATGAACTCTGATTATTGTATTATAATTTAATTTGTATAACGTACGAGTCTATTATCCGATATAATTATTGATGGCGAAGTTGAAGCTTTACAGGAAAAAATGCAAACAAGGCAAACAAAACTATATGCGTATCATCAAAAATATATATGGCAGATATATATTTATTTATATATTTTACGCAGTATATTGAGAGTTTATGCGTGGGCAATGAATCTGACTATCCGTATATTTTTTGGTTTTATTTATTTTATTAACTCAGATCAAACAAAGAAAAAAACGTATGTCACTGAAAAATGGTTATTACTGATATATGTATACTATCCTAGTCGCTAGCGACGCGTGTTAACCGGCACTACAACAAAACATAAGTATCTAGTTAGACAAGCGAGCAAAATGGTTAATTGTTGTCATCATTTGCTAATTTGCACATTATCATATTGTTTATTTATTATATTATTTTTTTGTATAAAGATAAAAGCAATACCTACAATTTTTATAATAACTGTAATCTAAAATTTTGTCAATTTTTTTTTCTTCTCATTCCTGAACAATTAAGTGTGAGGCTCTCTGCGGGTCGACACATTATATTACACTACGACGGACGGATCACACACGAAAAAACAAGAATTAGTTCCAGAATAAATGAGCGACTCGCGCGAAAGAGTTACTACTACTGTCGCGATAATGAAGAGAAAAACTAACGAATGACCTGTGTTATTTTACCGCAACTTTAATATTTATATCACAATAATACATGTTTTTTTTACTTGAAGAAAAATAATCACGCAGTGAGTGCAGGCCTTATTCATATACGTGTATAATATACTCGTCGTGCACATTGTATAGAGGGACCTAAGATTTAAAATGTAAAAAAATGTCTACTACAGCCGTGGCACAAAACGGCTCATTTACGTACACGGGCATAAACATTCGACTTTTTTTACACACACATACAAGAACGGCTCTCCCATTGACTTCGTGCAGCTTTGGGGACACCCGTTCGAGCGATCGACATATATTTAGAGCTTTCAAACGTGAGAGACTATAAAAGGCCTTCGCGTATCAACCATGGTAAAAAAATGTTTTGTCCGAGCTACGGGGAATATCTGTTTATATACATATGAAAAAAAAGTATCATATTAGTCCAGTAGTCGCAAGATATCCAATGCATTGATATTTGGTCGTATTGAATTATAATTATCAGTCAAAATGTATAAATGTAGCTTTAAAACGAAAAAAATTATTTTTCTAAAAAAAAATCAGTATAATATTTATTAAAAAAAAACATAGCAAAAAAATGCCACGTTTTGACAATTAAAAAATAAAATTGAGGGTCAATCCAATTTATTCGTTGTATTAAAACAATATTCGATGAATTGAAGTCGATCAAACGAAACCAACGTTACATGTGTATATTATGTACAACCGTCGTTGACTATAGCGACGATTTAACTGAGTGATCTGAAATAGCCATTTTATTTAGAACGTATTAAAATATCAGAAATTAGGGACTCTGAATGAACTTTGAATGCAAAAAAAAGTAATAAAATAAAAATCGTTTAATATTTAAAAAATTGTCTTGTGTGATGAATCTGTGTGCGTGTACGCGTATCGATGCGAAGCTCAGCAAAAGGAGGCATTTATATTTTCGGTTATTTCTATTATAAAATTTAATGAATATAACTCGAATTAATCTTCTCGTCGATCGAAACTGCATACTTACATAAAAAAATCTAATAAGTAAACAAGTAAAGATAAATTAATTGTAAAACATGCATATAAATATATTTGTAGGTAATGGTGAGTCATGACAGCGGCTAAGAAAGTTTTAAAAAGTAAAATGACGACTTACTCAAAGTATTTCGGCGTTTTGAAATGATAAAAAAAGTACACAACGCCAACTCCCTCGAAGCGAGACTTACTATGTTTCATTGATCAAATCAAAGACGATGACGAACGGCTGACACGTTTGTTGTGATAAATTAAATTTGAACTTCTAGTGTTTTATTAAATGAAAATTAAGGATAATGCTAATAATTATTATAATAAATAATAATAATAATAATCTCGCGTTATTATGCTGTGTTATATATACAGGGCGAGACTAAAGAGATAGTCGAGCGTAAAATCGAGCGTATTCGTGCTGAAAATACAGGAAGATGAAAATATTCTATAATAGGGTTGTATTATACGATAAATATAGTTATATATTTGTGTGAGATTGCAAAAGAAGCCCAGTGTAATGCATAAGAATAAAAAAATAATAAGATGCAAACAATTCATATAATATCGAACACGTCAATGTACCTATGATAACTATATTTCTAACAATGACACATGATACATTTAAAGGTGTATAATCCTACTTTTTCGAGTAAGATTTCATACGTACATAAAATTTAAAAAAATTGAGGAAGGGATAAAAAAATCACACTCATCAACCAACAGTACGATTTATAAACAATGAAATAATTACGAACTACGATATAATATTATAATGATAAAATAATATACATACACGCCTGCAAGTTATCAGTACCAAAAAAAAAAAAAAAAAAATGAGCAATGCCACAAGCGAAGTAAAAAAAACTACAAATGTTGGTTCGATATAAAATTTGAAGAATTTGCATGTGCATAATACACGACAATTAATGAATAATAATTACACCATTCCTTCGAAGCGTATTGAGCATGTTTCCAAAAAATCCAGTTCAAAGTTAAATTGAACGATTAGAATAAGTAAAAAAGAATTATAATAATAGTAATAACATGAATACTGTTAAAACTAAAATCACATGTACAAATTTCGGTAATGTTTAATATCAATTTCGAAGGCTCAACAATCAGCGCGTCAAAAATAAACTCACTTCCGAGCTCGCCGCTCGAGATTCCCGACGCGCTTTGAACTACACCAACGCATTATGTATATTGTATATTTATTATATATAATATACATACATATAAATACATTTATACGTATAATTGAAAAAACATTCTTCCGAATCTTGTGTTGCTAAAATTATCTTTTAATAATTAAAGTAAAGAAACGTTTATTAGGTACGTTGATCACCGAGGAACTTAATAATTGAACTCCAGTCATTAACCGAATAATGAATACGAATTCGCGGTGAAAAATCAGTTTTCCTGCCTTTTTAATGTTTTTCAACAACTCGCATCGAAACTATATATGAATATACAATTTATATCCTATATATATATATTTGACACTCAAACTCGCGTTACATTTGAATCCTAGTCAATAGATGGAACAAAAAACTCACGCAAACTAAGCCGCATGTAGTCATTTGTAATACATATAATTGAAAATCATATCAACAAGACAAGATTTTGCACTGCGCATTAATAATTGTTTGATTAAAGCAAAGAAAAGTTCAGTCAAGTTCCTCGACTGATCCTTCGAAGGAATTATAGTACAGTTATAAAGAAAAAAAATGTGAGTGGTGGCAAAAAAAGTTCATGATAAAATTGAGAAAAGAAATCAATAATACTGCAGACCAAAATTTAGTCGACCACGATAAAACTCAAAAGTAACGTTAATTAAACGTCAACTATAAGTATACATGTGTAATCATTGTAGCAGTGAAAAGCACCCCTGATTAACTAATAATCGAAATAAGTCATTTCAATGTTTATACATAACTAAGTATAAGGGGGTTGATTGTTTATTAAAACAAAACTGACACTTTGAACGAGATTTCAATTCATAAGTTTCATTTTTGACGGATAGAAACAATTTTTTTAATAGATTTTTCTATAGTGACGATAAAACCCAGTACGACACTTTAATATTTACTGCTAAAAAAGAAAAAAAAAGATAAAAAAAAAAGAATAATAATAATGAACATCCACTATGTGATATTCTCGTGTCTTGTCCAACGAGAGGCGTTGTTTTTTAGAATTATTACATGATTATTATGATTATTAATTATAATTGAAATTTTCATGACTCTTCAGTGAGTTTCGAATACATGAATATTACAGTACCATCACACAATTTATAAAACAAAAAAATGTGTTATATAAGTGTATGTGAATCAATGCTAACGAATCGTCATGAAGTATTATATTATATTATATATATCATATAGGGGAATATGTAGGTAATGTTGAATGTAAATGTGCACTGACGCGTGCCTATACGAAAAATAAAAATGGCAATGAAAAAAATCAGATTTCGTATATAAATTTAGTATATATCGTATGTGTCGCTATACATATAAAGTATGTTATTAATTACAACTTATATATTATGAACCTAATGTGTAATCTCGCGTATGTATAAAAAAAGGTTTAAAATAGGTGATAGAGTCGGGTTCTTTATATATGTCATGTACCCAATCTTTCCTTCAACAAAATAACAAAAAAAAATTGTGTGCGAGAGGCATTCAAGTATAAAAAAAAACACTGAATGAATAGTTAGATTAAAAAAAACGCTGATGTATCGAGTCAACTGCCTTGCAGAATAACGTAAACGCGAGAAAATT